GTAGCTTCCTCCCCCCCCACCCCCCGGACTTCCCGCCTCGGCTTCCCCTTCCGTCCACACCCCTGCCTCCGAGCGGCAGCACTTCCCGGAAAGTTGTTGCGGCTTCAAGTCTAAAGTTTAGGGGGCTCTGGGCTGAAGGCGACCGCCGCTCCGCCTCCCTCCGCCGCCATTTACTGCGCCCCGGCCCGGCCCCCAACGCGCCCGCACTAACACTGACAGCGGCGGCCGCGCTCCAGACCCGGATGTGAGACCGGGAGGAGAGAGCGCGAGAGGGAGAGAGAAACACCCACCGGGCTGGCTCGACCACTCCCGGGAGAGGGAACCCGCAGCGCCCTCTAGTGTCCAGAGCCCGCAGCTCCTGGCCGGGCCAGCCTGCACTCCCAGGAAGCCGGGACCTGGAGGAACGGCGTGCTGCTCATGCAAGAACAAGAGAACTTAGATGGGCACTGTAGTGTGCATTGCTTCCAAGCTTCTGGCACTAAACGTTTAATAAATATTTGATTGGAAGGGAGCATGTTGTTCAGGTTATTGTATCTCTTTATACCTTTTTGATGACAGATATTACCGTAGATAATTTAATATGTTTTCAGTTCTTCAGGTCTTAAAGTCCATGAAACCTTACTGAAGTGAACGCAGCTGAGACTTATTACGCTCTTGTCTCCAAGCTGTGTTTACCTGAGAAACAAAATTTGCTGAATAGAGGAAACAACTGTCAGTTTTCCTCTTTGAACAAGGTCATTCCGATCACCACAAGCATAATGTTGTTGTAAAGTGCCGTCGAGTTGGTTCCGACCCACAGCGACCTCGTGTTAGGTTTCCGAGGAGCAGCTGGTGAGCTTGAACCGCCTACCCTGCAGTTCAAAGGGCTTTGCAGTCCAGGGCATTAACCCACAGCGCCACACGGGGACTCAGAGCAACTCTATAAACGCTTGGGAGTCCCGGTATGGCGCTGCGGGTTGATACTCCAGACTGCAGGTCGGTTTGAACTGCAAGGTCAGTGGTTTAAGCTCACCAGACGGTCCTAGGAAATTCTATACAGTGTTCTTATGGGTCGGAAGTGACTCTGGGTCACCTAACAACAACATAAACCCATGTGGGCCTTGTGTGGACTACTGGGGCTCCCTGATCCTAATTGTCATTGTTACAAAATGTATGGACTGAGGTTTGTCTAACCTACACTAACCTGAGCGAGGGATTCTTATTGTTGTTATTGTTAAGTACCATCGAATCAGTTCTTACTTATAGTAAGAACCCAAACCCTGTATTGGGTTTCCAAGGCTTTGGGCTCGAACCCCGGAGCTTGTGGTTCGCAGTCCCGTGTATTTCGTATGCAGCCACCGGAGAGGAGTATTTTTAAGATAACTCCAGTTGACTAGTTTAACGAGTGTCTACTTAACAAATCGGTAAGGTTTCAAACACAGCAGCCTAAGTCAGAATTGTATAGAAGGGTTTCAGTTTCGTTTTTTATTTTGTCTCCTAGAGTCATTTTCTTCTCCGAGTGCTGATCATATACATGTTCCTAAACCCCACTGCCATTGAGTCCATTCAGAATCTTAGAAACAGAATATTGGGTTTCTGAGACTGTAAATGTTTAAGGGAGCAGATTGTCTCATCTTTCTCCCAACAAACAACTAAAGGGTTTGAACCACCAATCTTGCCCTTAACAGCCCAATGACCAACCTACAGCTCAACCAGGGCTCCATACAGGTTCATAACCCTTCCTCTGTAATCCTAGGGTAAGCGAAAAAGAGGAAGACACCACCACCACCACCACCTAGCTGGATTGGCACAGTGGCAGGAGCAATGGACTCAACTGTAACAATTGTGAGGATGCTGGCGGTTGGCTCATTGCTTTGATCTGCTGTGCACAGGGTTGCTAGGAGTTGCACTCGACTTGACAACGGCTGGTAACAACAATGCGTAGTCCTCAAATTTCAACATTCTGAAAAACTCAGTTTTATTGTAACCGTATACTGCCGACTTGAACTCATTTGGAGGTAAAATCTTAACTAAAACTCATATGTGATATTTATATCTATATCTACCAGTTAGTGTCAGTTGTTGTTGTAAAGTGCCATAGAGTTAGTTCTGACCCATAGTGACCCTGTATACGGTTTCCGAGGAGTAGCTGGTGAGCTTAAACCACCGACCTTGCAGTTCAAACGGCTTTGCAGTGTGGCGCATTAACCCACAGCGCCACACCAGGACTCCGTTAGTGTCAGTACTTATTCAAATTATATAGGTTCTAGGAGTCCTGATGTCACACTGTAGGATAAGCACTGGACTACAAGATCAGTTGGACCCACAAGGTTGACAGTTCAAACCCATCATCCACTCTTGGAAACCCTATACAGTGTCAGTATGAGTTGGAAATGACTTGACAGCACTTAACAACAACAACAGTGGGGAATGTTACAATATATTTAGGTATAGGCATGTTGTACTGCTCTGAAAAAAAAAAAAGTTTATGTTCTGCTTGATTCACAAACACATTGAGACATGGAGCAAGACACTGGGTCTGATCTCAAAGTAAATGATGAATTTATGCAAATGATAATAATAATAATACAGAAAAGAAGAGAGGAAGGAAAAGAGAGAAGGAGGAAAGAAGATAGGAGGAAAGCAAAATAGGAAAAAAGGAAGACCTGTACCATCTGTTAGCGTAGGGATTACGAATTGGGCTGTGAACCTCAAGGTCAGCAGTTTGAAACTACCAACTGTTCCACAGGAGAAAGATGAGGCTTTCTGCTCCCGCAAAGATTTACAGCCTCAGAAACCCTGTACAGGGTTGCTATGAGTCGGAACCGACTCCACGGCACATAACCACCACAACCACCATCTGTTGATTCCAACACATGGTGACCCCCATGTAAGAGCAGAACTGCCCCCTTAGTGTTTTCTAGACTGCAATCTTTATGAAAGCAGACTACCAACTCTAGCAGTTGGGTGGGTTCAAACATCTCCATTAGAGGCCAAGTGCTTGATACATGTTGCATTTTATATAAATATACAAAATATCATTAACGGTCTTTAAAACTTTCCATTTGCCACAGCTACGACTCACGTATCTAGCATCTTTTCTCTGCTATCTTTCCTAGGACTTGCAGCTTACTTCTGCCTTCCCAAAACCTGTTGTCATCTAGTCAATTCCTGTTTATTACTTAGAACTACCATAGGGTTTCTAAGGCTGTAACCCTCACCAGAACAGTCTGCTACATGGTTCTCCTAGAGTGAAGCTGCTCGGTTCCAACTGCTGACCTTTTGGTTAACAGAAGAGCACTTAACAACCATGCCACTAGGATTCTCCATTTCTTCTAGTGCTCAGGGGTCTCTGTTTCCACTAACTTTCCACAGACCCGTGCATGATTTGATTTCTCATGCTATATAGGTCCCTGGTCTGATGTCACCTCTTCAGCGAGACTTCTCTAACACCTTAGCTCTCCTCTATTCCCTTTTTAAATTGCATTTATTCTTAAATTATGTTTATTCATAGTGCTTTTCAGTACCTGACAATAAAGTACATATTTGTTTACATTTTAAATATCTAACATGTACTGATGAAGATCATAGAGCACAGCCTTTGGTACGGATTACATCTCAATGTCAAGAAAACAAAAATCCTTACCACTG